AGACAAACTTTACGGCAATTTCCAACCTAAAAAAATCATTCTCAAATTAAACAACATATTTTACAAATTTACAAATCAAACCACATACTATTATTTTAAACAACATATATACATAGATCTTATTACATAAATTTCTAATCGATTTTAAAATAATAGTGGTTTATATAGATCTATTACATATATATAAGTTTGTATTTACTTGAAATAGTAATTAAAATATCGCCTAAAACTTTCATTGTTACTTTTATTAGTAATTTTTTAAAATATTTTGGAAAATGACGGTCTGCTAAAACTAGGAGATAATGCATAGTGCATAGAAGATAAAAATGTGTATTTTCCTTTGCTTGTAATAGTGAGATTTGATTGCATCAAAATCAAATTAAATCAAGATCAAATCAAATAACTAATTACTAAAATAATTACTACTAACTCTAAATCATATCAAACAAAAGGTATCTTAACAAAATAACTAAATCTATCTTAACACCCCCTCAAGTTGGTGCATGGAGATTTCGAATACTCAACTTGCTTTAGAAATTCGCATGAAGATTTCGAATGCTCAACTTGCTTTAGAAATTTCGACAAATCTTGGCCACCCAATGCTTTGGTGAAGATGTCTGCTAGCTGAGCTTTGGTAGAAGAAAGCTAATCAGGAGATGACCAAAGGAACAGAGGACCCAAGGACTTGATCGTATTTAATATCCAAAGGACCGAAGGACTGTAGAATAGAAGGACATAAGACCAAAGGACTTGATTTAATCATCTAAGAACTCCTCTAATGGAGGAGGAATTGAACCATCTAAGAACCGTATTTTTTTTGGTGCCCGGAAAGCATTGATCAGAACGGTGGTGAAAAACTATGGCTTCGATACCATGCTAAAACTATGAGAGAATGCATAGTGCAGAGAATAGAAGATAAGAGATGTGTATTTTTCATTACTTGTAATAGTGAGATTACATTCCATATATAGAAGTTGTAAGAGATAAAAAACAAATCAAGATCAAATCAAATCGATTATCTAATCTAATTACCAATATAACTACTACTAAATTAAGATTATATCAAACCAAAGATATCTTAACAAAATAACTAAAAAATCTATCTTAACACGATTAATTATTTGAAATTCAAATTAAAAAAAATTAATGTAATTAATGTAAAGAATCATTCTGGTCAAATAGGGATTATTGTTACCATTGATGTTAATATTTTAGGTAAGTATTATTTTATTAAAATTTTATATATATGTTATTCATAAATATTTCATACTAGTACAATACCCGTGTACTACACGAATACTTGTTAAGAAATTTATTTTTAAAATTAAATAATAATAACAACAAAATCTTTTAGTTTTTAATTACTTTTTTGAAAAAATATATTATTACTTATATTTAAATGACACTCACACGACTTAGCATCCTATATTATTATTTTTTAATTTATATAAATTTCAAATCGAAAGTTTATTAAGACCTGATTAATTTGATATGTTATATACAAAGTTTGTTAATAAACAAAAAATTTATTACTTTTAAATATATTTATATTTAAGTTAGTTTATAATTTTAAAAGAAATATGAATTTTTTATTAATTCATAAATAACTTATATTATGTTTTTTATCTAGCAATTTCAATCAAGTATTTTTGTGTTTGATCAATCTTTCCTTTTCCTTGTAAAATTCCACTTTGGAAATCAATGTACCGATGTGAGATTCCCAAACAAATTGAGGGATAAATTAGTAAACTAAAGCAAAGTTTCCAAACCAATATCATGGGTAAATTAGTGAAATTATTATTTAGTTACCAAAAATTATTGATTTTAAAATATGAATATGTATAGAATGTCCGAACAAAAAATTATTGATTTTAAATATAATTATTTTAAAATATGAAACATGGAATTTTAAATGGTATGATGCTACCAATTAAGCTCATCGCATTCAAAAATTATATATATGGGAAATTATATATACATTTCCCTTACAACTCATCACCATCGTAAACTTCTCGCCAATGGCAGCCGCCGGCACTCCTCCAAATCCTAAACCCTTGGCATCAAACCCGCTGCTGACCCGACACAACCCGTCCTCTTCCGCCGACGCCAATCACGACTCCAGAATCAAATCGATCCAGCGCCAGATCGAGTCGATCAAGCGCCAGATCGAGTCGGCCAAATTAGTGGAAGAGTGCATCAAGGACGAGTTGAAGAGCCGTGAGCTCCGGCAGTGGCAACATGATATGAATAGGATCATCCAATCAGTTCAGCCGGCCACCTCTGAGGCCGTGGAGAGTGTAGATCGGAACGACACCGTCGGTATCCGCCGCGAGTCCCTGCTGCCGCCGGATGTGGGGAGGAGGTTCATCGAATCGTTTTCGATTTTGGTGGTGGTGGAGAGTATTCCCATAGATCGGAACTACGCTGTCGGGTTCGCTGGCAAACGGTCGGGCCGAAGAAAAATTAAGAAGACGAATTTTCGTTACCTCCGGTGAATTTGTTGCTGTCGAATTTTCGTTCAATACCTGCGGCCGTGACTGTGAAGAAAAGGTTTCTGATTAGCAATAATTTTTTGTTTATGGAAATTTGGATTAAAATAACTATTTGTTAGTTAGGGCCTTAAGTATTATTATGTTCTTTTTGTCTAATCTTTTTATTTTTTATTTTTTTTTTTCAAGTATAAAAATAAAAGTAATTACAAGCAATCATGATATTTAGGAATTGTTGCAGCAACTAATGAATTTGGGAATCATGATACTTGGCTTTTCCTTTGACATCAATGTAACTCTGAGTTGTTTTTAAAGAAAGTAAAATAGAGAAGAAATTGTAGGAGCTACTTGATCCCAAGTCTGACAGTTGGAGGTGCCCGTGCACCAAGTATGAGTCAAACTACCGAGTGCTTGCCCGTGCATCGAGTATGTCCGATCTACCGTCAACGTGATATTTTACGTTAGCCGTGGTCCAAGCACGCCCTTGCGTCAGTGACCGTGGCACCGTTTCACACTCGTGCATCAGCTAAACCGTGTCAGCCGAGTTGAATGATCGGCCTGTTTCGAGTGAACAGCCGGTCCAGTCCTTGTCGAACCAGTCCGGAAAGTCTGGATGGTTAGAAGAGAATTTTAGTTCAGCCGAATCAGTCCCGTACGATTCGGGAAATCTAGTGGTTAACTTTCTCATACTGAACTGTCACCCACTAGTTATAAGACAATTTGCACTGGCTTGTCATTTGTTCTTTTGCACTGTTGGGTACTTTACCAGTACTATGAGAAGCGAGAACTATGCATGGGACAAGGTTTTCACTTGGACAACATACATTTTGCAGCCCTTTATACATGTAGATGTATAGCTACTTTCCTCTAGTTACCATAGAAGAAGTGTGTGGATCTTAGTATTCTCAGAGACTAATATATAGTGATAAACCTGAAAGTCATGGTTTATTTGATGGTCTCTTGTTACTTGTTAGTTCAATGTAGCATGCTTTGATATCTTTGAAATAACATTTGCTCTTTACCGGCATTATCCTAGGAGTAAAATCACGGAACCCTTGCTTGCTCCTTATTCGAGCCAATTCATCTGTGTCGGCTAGAGGCAACTCTGATATATGGAGTTCTAGAATGAGATAGAAGGTTCTTATTTAATATACTTTGTGTAGCATGTTCTTGATGCAATCACGTGAATCTGAGTACCTATGTCATAACTCATGTTGTTATATAATGTTCATTCGCTTGGTACTTGCATCATATTCAGTTCCAACTTCCAACCCATGACCCAATCTGAGTTGATGATTTACACTTTATTGTGATCTGTGTTAGCTGGATGTAAAAAGGGGGACTGTAGTGTTACCGATATTTGTCGACAGTTTGAATTGAACGGGCATTTTGATTGAATATAAGCTATAAAATGGGGGACTGCATGTAGTGTTACCAATATTTTGGATTATTTTTTCAGAATGAGTAACTTAGTTTGATAGTCCCGCTCACCTGCCTACGGTGGGCAGTGCCCACCACTTTGTTTTATATGAAAAACGTATTGGGAATCAAAATTTCTTAGTTTGAGAGATATTAACATGTTTTCAGCCGATGAAGAGCAGCAGTACTCGGTGTGTATATAGGCCTTAGACCTTCTTTAGTAATAGAGTGTATATTGACTGGAAGTGGTGTGAATGGATAATGTAATTGTTTCTTATTTTTTAGGGCATTACTAGAGCATTAAACAAACCGAGTCGCTCGTGGGCTCGAGTTCGGCTCGACTTGTTTGATGAACAAGCTGAACCGAGCTTGTTTACCAGCTCGTTTAGTTAACATGTTGAGCTCGGTTCGGCTCGTTGAGGCTTGTTAAACTTGAGATATACGAGTTTTTATGTAATTTTTAGAGTTACTACCTTAGCTCGGTTCATTAATTTTGATAAATTGGTTATTCGCTCAATTAGTTAACTCAGCTCGAATTTGCTACAGGTTCAATTAAGCCCGAGAGCTCGAGCTTGACTTGGCTGATTAAGCATGAAATTCCGACTTTTTAGTGTGATATACATGTTTTTGGTCTATTCTATTTGAAACCAAGGTCTCCTTTTTCGTTTTCCGCCCCAATTAATTTTCTAAATAATTATATTGTGTGGAGACCAAAAACATGCAAAAACAAGCTCGAGACAATATAATTTTCTTAACTGGCCCGAAACTGCTGGTTCAATGAACTTGCCTGTGCATATGTCCGGGCTGGTTCAGGACCCTCCAAACCTCATCTAGGAACCGGCCCAAAACCGAAAATTGGCCATGTCTAGTTCTGTTTTTCTGTGGCACCTTGTCATTGTCATGTAGCTATTTCCTTCGGACATAAGAGCATTTCTGCTTATACCGTCAGTTCGTCAAAATATATGAATCAACTTACACGTATCAATATATGAACTACACTTATACGCACGATGAATAGACGTTTGAATCCCTCCTTCAAGTCAGTCTTTCTATAACCCATGGTGAATTTGATGTAATGTGTATAATTACGAACTACACTTATGAGGAATAGATGTTTGAATTCAAAAGACTCATTCAATGCAGTTTTATAACAATGGTGAATTTGATGTGATGTGTATAATTGTTATTGCACCTCCATATTCATGGTGAGATTGCTACTTTTATTAGCATCTCAAATTTTATTATCCTCATTTTTATTTTTTATTTTTTTCTTGTTGAAGTTTTACTCACCTCATTCCTCAAAAAGTGATAAAATTTTTCTTTATAATTGAAAAATAGCATAATATAAAATTTTTAAATTTGTAACTCATATATAAATCAGAAATTTTAAATTGTTATTTAAAATATCGAATCATTTTTTTGGAAACTTGTAAAGATCTCATAGGAATAGTTAGATAAAAATAATAGGGGATGAATAAAGTAATATAAAATAAAGTTTCATTGTGCAAAATAGGAACACATATCTTTTTTACGATCCAATATTATATATTTGAAATTTACACCATCCTAATTTACTGTAGGAAATTAGAAGGTTAGACACAAATATTATAAATCCTATACAAAATAATCCACACAACATAACTATGATTAAAATCTGGAAGATATTTAAAATTTCTCTTTTAAATTTTGAGGATATCTTTGAAATCTCGATGCAATGTCTCTGTGACTCGGAGGGAGGTCTCTTCGTCTGAAATCTTGAAATCTATCCAAATTTGGGAGGGGATATTTGAAATCTATCTCTCACAATTGTTTAATTGAAAATTTACTTTTTCATGTGTAATTGAAAATTAATTGATTATTTTTTACATCTTTCTCTCAAATATTGAAAAATAATTTATTGAAAAATAATTATTTTTTTTAAGCATGTAAAATTGTATTAGTTATTATTTATTTGCTATTGAACCCTAGATTATTGTAAAATTGTATTTAGTTATTATTTATTTGCTATTGAACCCTAGATTATTGTTTAGTTAAATTTTATTTCTATATTTACTCTAAATGGATGATTCTATTTACTATATCATTATTTCTGTTTAGGGCCGAATCAATGAATTAAGATACAGATAAATCCATGTATGTCCGTGAGTTACACATCCACAACACCTAGCATAACTGAATATTAATTAGACAGAAAATTGTCGCTTCAAAATCACAAGACAAAAAACCACAAAAGGGAGCTATGAAGACACGAGTAAATAACCGTTACAACTTACAAGTTAAACTAAATTAGAATACGGGTACAAAAAGAGTTAGATCCTCTACCAGTGAACTCGACCACCGTCTCTTCCACTAGCTCCTCCAGCAGCACCCCTCCGATTTCTTTCTCTAAATTATCCATTTCCGAACTGAAATTACGATTCCACCCCTCCCCCGACACCTCCCTCTCCACGACCCTCTCCACAGCCAGGCTGTAGTGGGCTCCACAGTCATTCTCCTCGCCTTGGAACCACACTTTCATCCGGGCCCACACCGCATCCCTAATGGATCTATCATCTGCGTTTATTGATTTTTGGCGCGAACCCAATTCACAACCTGCAATGTCCATTAAAGCTTCATTTACACAGTCAAACACGAGTTCCTGATGAATAGATACATAATGCCGTTGCTTGGCCCCGTGCAACGTGTCATTTGAATCATCAATATAGTTGTCTTTTAAAGACGGGTCCAAAGGGCTCTCGGGCGAGTGCCACCTGGCAAGAAATGAGCTGGACTGCACCCTGCCTTTGTGGCCGGCGGTGGATAATAAAGTCTTGACGAGGGAAAAACAATCTCGTTCTTCATCTGTTTTTCGGGCGGCAGTAAATCGTTCGGGTTCAGGGTGCAATAAGGCCGTCGTGTTCACACACGAATTGTCCCATGATAGGGTGCGGGCAATGGATCCTATGGGCGGTGATTTGTCGATCAAGCTTGGTCCAGTACAATTAAGTAGCTTGTTGACTCCTGAATTAAAATTACGATAGGTAACGAAGCCAACTAAATAAAAAAAGGGGAAACAAAAGGCTGTAATAGAGAAATTAAGGAAACACAAGGATGTTACCTTTCTGGTCACGAGGCTTTGCTGTTTGTTCATTCTCCTCAAGAGGTGGATCTAACACAGAAATAGGACTTGGCTGATCGTGTTTTTCACATATGTTTGCAGATGTAATAGGTTCTGCCATGGCCAGTCCAGCCTGCAATAACCACAATCCCCGTTACTTATGAAGATAGAAAGTTTCGAGACAAATTACAGACTATTGACTACTTCACATGAATCACATCCTGCAAATCATAAGTCGTAAACGGATTTGCAAATCTAGCAGAATATTCTAACCTCAAACCCTTCGCCTTTGAAAAAATAAACCCAATCTACTGTAATCGGAAGAATTATAGAGAGAGAGAGAGAGGGAGGCAGGGAGGGAGGGAGGGAAGGAGGGAGGGAGAGAGAGAGAGAGAGAGAGAGAGAGAGAGAGAGAGAGAGAGAGAGAGAGAGAGAGAGAGAGAGAGAACACAGTAACAATCAAACATAACAAAACAAACAGAAAATGAAAAACATTCATTTTATCATACTGCTAAAGAAAAAAGATTTCATTCTTTTCTCTTCAAACATACAGAAGCAATCATCTTGAGTTTATGAGACTATTTTCATATCATTTATCGAGGAGATAAGAATAATTTTCTTTCGTCAATATTAATCAAGAAGATACGCATAAAAACCTTCCATAACAATTCGATACCATTGCACATACAATCCCAGACAAGATTTACTTGAGCACTGTCGTATAACTCTTGTATGATTTACTAAACTTTTGGAGAATACACATGCTAAAGTTTAAAGGTATTACCGCAGGGGATATAGTGCCATGCTTGCCAGTTGGATTAGGCTGAAGTGAATCACTATCCGACCCTTTCTCACTCAGACTTCGAGTTTTATCACTGCAAATTTCTCCATTAAACAAGCGAGCCTCATCTTTGGTTCCTGATACAGCCGACTTATTCTTACCAGTTTTTTTATTTCTTGAAAAAAATAAACTGGAAACTTTCTCTCTGAATGACGACACAACACTAGTTTCTTTCACATCCTCCCTGGGAGACTCAAGTATCCTCTTGTCTGACTCAGGAATATCCGGATACGGCCTTGTCCCAAACATAGTAGATGACACTGGAACAGATTTCGACCTCATTAAATTCCTAGGTGAGCAATCCACATTAACTTCTCTTTTCCTCTCATCCACAAAGAGTTCGAAACAACTTTCGTCGTCTCTTTGAGGACCTTCCTTCTCTGTCTCGAACAGGGCAAGCATCTCGCCCAATGTGCTTGAGCTTCTCCGGAATCGCCTTTGTTCTGGGCAGCTCCCATCGGAGGCCAACATTGCCCATCTTTCAGACAGACGTTTCTTGGCTTCTCTACAAACTGAAGACTCTGGAGAGTAAGACGCCCTTGTAAACACAGGAGATGAGTACAGACTCCCGAGCCTATCGGCATAATCCCAGGAACGCCTAGAAGCAGAAGACGTGGCTTCTAAATCACTGGGATCACCGTCTTCGCACTCAATTTGTGATTTATCGAACAAGCTTTCGTCCCCATCATAGCCATTAAAGGAGAACACTGAGGAAACCAAGGTTTCTCCATGGCGGTGGTCCCCGAGTCTTTCGCGCATATGTCGCGTGATTGATTTTGCCACTTTTCTAGATTCTCGGCACTTGCCATCTTCCGTATCCCCAAAAAATTCCTCACTGAGTAGTATTTTGGGTAGATGTGACTGCAGGGGGCCCACAGCCTCCACATTGTGTAGTTTACCGGGGCTTGGCTTCAAAACCACTATTCGTGTCGGTTGGGTGGAATTTCCAGGATGGGTTTTCTCCAAATTACTCGGCTGGACAAAGGTGCCCTTTTGAATTTGCTTCTCATCTCCGTACTTGGCTGTGGGGAAATTATTGCTGTTTGGTACATTGGAAGGCCTGAGAACGGTAATCCGCCTCGTCTCCGGAGGACCGTGAAGGTACTGGGACGACATCTGGTTTGGTTCTTGCAGACATTTGAGGAATAAGTCACGGTTGGAGCTTAGTACGTCCAGTGCATCCTGGAATTGCTTAGACTGGTGGAGCTTTTCATCCATGGACAGGCGTTTGGCCTCGATGAACTTCTGGCGGACAAGATTCATCTTCATGTCATTTATGTTCTCTTCATATTTATGTGATTGCTGCCATTTTATATTAACATCTTTGTGCTGGTTTGGATCTATGTAGTGAAAGTAGCCATTATGTGGCTCTGAATAATTCATAGGGGAACCCGCAGAAGTATTCTGAGGATGAACTCTAGAGTGGCTTCTCTGTGCGGTTGGGCCGGGTTCCCTTTGGGGAAGGGCGTCAATGCCCATTAATTTTGCAACTAAATTAGGAGGATAGCGACTGGAATCAAATTCTGCAGACATCTCTTGGGCAATGAGCATTTTCATTGGTGTTTTATTAGATGTTCTGTTGGAAAAGCTGCTATTGAAATCCAATACAATCTGAAAGCTCCACACATGACACAAAAGCACAAGGTATGATTAGATGGAGAAAATGTTGATGTAGCCTAATGATACTATTAGTTTGAAAATGTTACCTCTTCTCCGACTGAATCAACAGCCGGGCGCATACTTGTTACATCTGATCTGCTCCTCGTGAGATGCGCACCTATGAATAAATTAAAACGGTGTTAATCAACAACCTTGAGACAATACCGAAAGAAAGAAAAAATAAAATAAATCCACACCAAACCCTTGATGAAGAAAAATTAGAAGTCTACATGTCGGAATTCATTATGGCCATTCAAAACTTCATTATTTGCTTTCTGCACTAACATTATCCGATAGTTTAGCTTCAAATTGCATGTCAAAAGTACAGTAGAGACGAACTATATACCCCAGAAGAATATGCCCAAATAAAATAAAAATAAATAAATAAATAAAAAATTAGAAGATAGACTCAGAGTGATAGAGTAGGCACCTCCCTGGCGCGGTTTACAATTGAGCATTTTGTTAGCTGGCACACCCATGTTCAACTCTAAGAGGTTCGTAACCCTTCCCGAGCACCCTGGATACATTTCCGCGAAATCATGATTTTTGTTGTTGTGGTGAACACCGTTCATTCTAAGCACCTGTGAAGAAGCATTCCACTCACCAATTAACACACAAATAAAAGAACACCAAGAGGGGTGGGGGGTGAAAAAGAAGAGCGAGAATAATAAGAAATATGAAAAGGCAATGAACTTTTCATACAAGGAACGCTCGAGGTTGATGGAGATAAATGAGGGAGACAAATATAGAGGTTAAGGGGACAATGAAAGAATTCACAGGGAGTTCAAAGAACCAATTCACTACAGAACAAACTTGTATTGATTAATGTGAAAAAGGGGGAAGGATGCAGAAAGAACAACAAAGACAACACCTCCAGCGCACACTGCCCTGTATATGGTAATTTACAGTATATTCCTATGAAATCTCACATCAAAGTGTCACCACTCTACACATCCCAGATTCATTGAACTTCAAGTTTCTCGAACTTTGTAAACAATCAACAGAATGCAAGCACCAAACACGTTACGGTAAAGTGTCAAAAACAAGTAACTGGACCACATTTGAACCCATAATTAACTCATTCTATATATTTGGGCAGGCCAATACACATGAATAACCAAAATCACGAGAAAAACTTCCAAATAAAACTAACTGTTTAACGATATTATATGATTCAGCGCGGAAGGTTAAGCTTAATTTTCAGATAACAAAACAAACAAATCGAAAATTAACCACAAAAGCAAAATCAATACAGAGAAAAAAGGAAAATAAAAAGCTGCCAATAAAGCATATCGAAAAGGAAAACAAAAGATAGAATCGAATTCGGCATAATTACTTTACCTTCGAAAAGCGAGATCGCCTTGACAGTACAAAAAAGTTGTTAACTGCAGCGAAAAGCACCACAACGAGCCCAAAAAATCGTCACCGGAGATGAGAATCAACTCTAGCCGGCAACCTCCAACAATGTGAGCAGACAAACTACTTCAAATTCTTCAATCGCTCACTTACATACAGACAGACTGAGGTGGAGCTCAGGCGAAACAGATCAGAAGATGAAACCGGAGATTCGCCGGATTCAAACATCCCGGTGAGGACATCGCTGGCGACTCGCCGGAATAGATACCGGCGCACATTGAGCTTCTGCCTTGTTTTCACCTCCGCCGCCGAGTGGCTCTCAGTCGGACTCCACTCGCTTTTTGTTTTCTCTGATTTATTTATCACTTTCAGTTACGTACGTGTGTGTAATTGTATATGGTATGTGTATATTAAACAACAAACATTATTAAATCTAACACAATTAATTAACTAATAAATGAAATGTATAAATACTTCGGGATTTTGCTACTGGAATTTTAATTTTGCTCGGTATTTTCGTGCCAAGTGAAGTGGGACCGTTTAGAGCGCAAATATTTAGGTGTGTCAGGACAATAATAAAATGAACATATTATTTAATAAAATGAATATGTTTATTTTTATTATGTAACATGTAATGATAAAAATGAACATGTTCATTATATGTTACATAATAAAATGAACACGTTCATCTGTCTTTTAGAGCGCTATTAAAATTACTTTTCTACGCTTCTTTCGCTAACTGTATTTGGGCCCAAATAGTTGTTGAATTCGTGATAAAATGTCCAAATCCATATAAAATCAAATACCAAGTGCACTTAACACCTAAGTCTAACTATGGGAACAACAAGCTCAATAACTATGGGTCAAAATGAGATCCATTAGTGCAGGGGCGAAGCCAGAAATTTTGGTTGCTGGGGTCGGGACAAACCCCAGGCTCGCCCATATATAGATCCGCCCCTGCTGTCGGGGTCTTATTATTTTTTAATGGGGTCTTACACGGTGAAATTTTGTTACGTACAAGTGGTTCAACGCAAAGCATCGGTGTCGGACGACCCCAGCCACTGAACGTAGCTTCGCCACTGCATTAGTGTTATGATTAATTGTTTTGAAGATTGGTGAAGATTTGAGAGTGAGATGATGAAGATAATGAGAAGAAGGAAATCTGTATCACTGTTGTCTTTTGTTTCTTTTTCGTTTTATTATTTTTTTCTTTTCTTTTATTGTTGAAAGCGTGTTGCGCTTTATCTTTTAGTTGTGCGTCTTATTAAGTAAACATGTTGTCGTTTTGGTCAGTGAAAGCGACACTATTTTAGGTCATCTTTTTTGTCTGTTTGCATGGAACATTAAATAGGGTCGTACGTCCTATTTTTCATTTTGATGGAAAATATTTTGAGCTAAGAAAATATGTACTGTGAAATTTCCTTTTCCTTCTGCGATATAAGAATCGAAAAACCCTCGATTCAACATGGTATCTAGAGGAGTAGATTCTGAGAGCTTCGATCTATCTTAAACTACGACCATGGTGGTGAGACGAGAAGGCGCATTCAATGTTGGAGGTTATGGTACTAAGGGCATCCACAACCATCCTCATTCATTCAATCAAAAATTAACACTTTCTTTCATCCGCATCATCTTTTCACTAAACATCTCTCCATTTAAACATACATTCACATTCCTATCAATCCATTTAAACTAGATTGTGGGCCAATATAAATAATATATAATTACATGGTCCCACCACTTTATGTGTTATGTGGAGGAATTGAACATTTATTTCTATTTTTTATGCTCTATGTTGTCAAACGAGAATTAACAACTATATAATCGACATGGATTTGTAGTAAACTTAAGATAAATCATTAAAGGCTTGTATGAACGGTGAAAGGAGATAGATTTTTTTTTTTTGAATATTATTGTCTACGTGTCTCTCTTAGCTGGCTTGGAGAACTGTTTTCTCCTTTTATATTTATTTACAACATTTATCTAATATGTAATCATTACACAAGAATAGTCAACGGCGGCTATTTGCCATTCATCTTAATAACGTGCCACTTGGCCAGGTGTAATGATGAGTTGTGCTGAGTTGGCACCGCCTTGTGGTGTCGGTCTAGCGAGTCATAGATATCGGTTCGAGCAGTAATAACCGATATGTCGTATCCGACATGTAGTAACCGACATGTCATAACCGACATGAGGTATCGGTTAATCGACGACGATGTCGGTTCTTGATGAATTTCTACCTGACAAGTGATTGTCTTGAAATTAGTGCCAGTACCTTGAGATCCGTAAAGGCAACACCTACTTTATGCGACTTCGATTATCCTTCTACTGAACATAATCAAGTGGTCAGCGTCGCTTAATTCAGTTTACTGAAAATGATGTCAACAAGGTGGCCCCCAGCATTAATGGTTGTCTTGAAAGAGACGAGCAATGATGCTGAAAATTCCCTGATACCCATTTAATCTTTGGCAAGGGAGACATGTCGGTTTTGTGAATGTTTTTCCGATATCTTCACACTTGGCAGAAATAATACTGAGAGTTGAAACGGCGCAATTTATTAGGATTAATTGCAACGTTTACTGATAGGGGTAACGGTCTTTTTTATTAGTCCACGTAACCGTTGATAATAGGCACGACTCTCAAGAGTTGCGTCGACTCGCGAATTAAGAACGTGTGGCCCACGCGCCCCTATTTCTTTTGGTTTCCAACGGTCGCTATTGAATTCAGGGCTTAGTATAAATAGGAAATCTTCTCTTGAGATCTACTTTACTTTCGTCTTCTTCTCGCAATCGTCTTTTTTCCTTCCCTTGTGAATTAATCGCCTCTCAATTGTACTCAAAGCATCCCAGATCTACGAACTACTCCCTGTGGTAAGAATTTCTCATTGTATTTCGTTTATTTACTCCGGCCTCTCTTTCTTTTTCTCGACATCATGAGTGTATCGTGGGCGTTTTCTGGTGACGATGAATTGGATGTGATGATGATCAACATGGTCCACTCCGGGGAGATGGAATTGTTGTCTGAGTATAACCGGTGGGACCCGGTATTTGTCGAACGGTTGAAGATTCAGCTAAACGATAGCGAGGGGGACAAAATCGTAGAGAAAAACGCCATCGATGACTCAAGATTCTGGAGGCGACCCATTAGGAGATGGACGGACCCCGAACTTACATCCCATGGTGAACCGAGTATCCTCACTGATGCCGACGTTGTTATGTTGCGGAGTGAAATCCGAGTCCCTACGTCGGTACATTTGTTTGCTCCATACCCAGGTGAGAGGATTACATGTCCTCCACCCAACTGCATCGGTGTGTTCGCTGAGAGTCTGAGATCAGGCTTGCGATTCCCTTTGCCGCGCATAACCACTGAATATTTGCGGGACTGGGAGTTTCCGATATGTAAGATCGCTCCAAATTCATGGAAGCGGATTATCGGACTACTGGTGCTCTTCGCCGAAAAGAATTGGGATTTACCGTCGCCGAAGGATATGAGGAGCATGTTTATGTTTAATATAATTTTGATGGGCAAAGGATAACCGAGTTACCCGACTCGGGTCGAT